ATAGAATAATACATATATTATATATAGAATATAATTATATATTGTTTATTGATAAATTATGTGTTTATATGTGTGTTTAACTATATTATGTACTTATATATAATGATGATGTGGCACGGTCTGACCCATTGATTTGGATGATTGAACTGGTGACTTGTGACCCAAAGGCAAAAAAAGGTTTAGCCTATTGATTGGATTTTAAAATATTGATTTTATGATGCTTTAATTGTATAAATTAATTTTAAAATTTCTTTTGATTAATTTAAAATATGATTCATATAACATATGTGTTGAAAATGCATGTATTGATGCATAATCAATGGTATTGGTATGAATCTATTATGTTATATATGTCTGACACATTAACAAATTCTATTCAAAACATACAACAATGCAGAACATATCATTGGTTGTGTCTCATCCCAAAACACACCACACTCAAGACTACAAAATGCACGGTGTGTCTGAGATGAACCACACCTTTTCCAACCACAGAACAGAACAAGCCCTTAGTTATCTCCTACTATGGTAAACAACAAGCTTAGAAAAGTCATAGGGTCCGTTTGGTTCAAGAGAATAGGACCTTGGAATCGGAATCAGAATGAGTCATTCCGATTCCGAATGTTTGGTCAACTAGAATGGGAATGAGGAATCAGAATGCCATTCCCCCATATGGGGGAATGGCCATTCCCGGCCCCCTCCCCCGGAATGTGATTCCCATTCCGCTATTAGTTTTCATTTTTTTTCTTTTTGGACAAAAAAACCCCTCCAATCCAACCTGCGATTGAGTTGTGGTGAGAAGGAAGAATCCCATGTCGTTGCCGCTACTGCCATCAACCCCATCTCCGGTGAGGAGGTCGATCTCTTCTCTCTTTCCTCTCTCTCTCTCTTCTTCTTCTTCTTCTTCTTCTCACATTCCCTCCCTCTATTCTGTCCTTGCCGATGCAATGGTCGTTGTAGCGGTAGATTGAACCGAAATCCCTCTCTTCTGATCTCTCTTCCCCCATTTTCCTTTCTCATTTTCCCATTTCCCCTATTTTTTCCTAATTTCCTTCATCATCCATATCACTCTTTCAGCGAGAAAAGCACAACATTTACGGATACTTGTTCATCGTCTTCTCCGACGATACGACAATCCAGTAGCGATGCGAATCCAGTTTTCCCACATATATTCAGCGATTTTTTGCCATTTCTGGGTTTACTCTCGTCTACCATTGGTTTCGTCAGTTTTCCAAGGACTCCCCTATTATTGTTCTTTGTCACATGTTAAGAAAAGCCATCGATAACGAAAATCGCTTGAGAGAATCCATCTTTCTTCCAAATTTCAAGCAGAGTCCACGCCAATGATATTGTCTTCTCTTGTGAATCGCCCCTGTCCACATTCTTGATTGTCATTATGGCTCACAACAAACAACCTAAGGTGAAAAATCAACTAAAACTCGTACTTGTTGCATCGATCAAGTCCAGGCCAAATCCCAACTCAGGTAAATACGACTTTCATTGCATTTTACTTTGATTTTTTTTTGAATTTGCTGAATTTTCTGTTTTTTTTTTTGAATTTTGAGTATTTTCATGCTTTTTTTCTGAATTCATTGCAAAACTATTGTAAGTTTTGCATTTTTCTGCAAATTTTCTACATTTTTGGTATTTTCATGCATTTTCTCCTTTTTTATTTTTATGAGGGGCAAAATTGGAAACTGATGGTGCGCGATCTGACTACTCCTAGCTGGAGGGTGATCTAGACTCCAAATGGATGGCGAGCTGGATCGATTTGCAAAACAGTCTATTAGAGAACTCGGGGTAGCTAACCCAACGAGGTCGCTCCAATGCTTAAGTCAGTAAGTATGTTGTAAATGCGAGCTGAATGCTTGAGAGGTTTGAGTACTAGAGAGTAGAGTAATCATGCGTACCTTTGCCATGAAGTTTCGAGTCTTTATATACTGGAGTAACTGTGGGCTTCACGAAAGAGTTCTAGGTTCTTTGGGCTGTAGAGATAAGGTTGGTTTCGTTTTTTGAGGAGGGTGGTACGTGGATGAGGCTTATCGTCCAGCCCCGATTCAGGTGGAACCGGGATAAGTTCTTATCATGACCTCGGGAGATTCGGGATCTGTTGGGAAGGCCTTCTGAATTGGTTATGCGACGGTGCAGCCTGTTAGCTCTAAGCTAGAACTTCGATTCTTCAGTCCTAGATTGGATGCCCGAGGTGCCTCTACGCCGAGGTGGGTTTGGAGCCGAGGTGACTGGGTACCCGCACTGCAAATGTTGCAAACTGGGCTTACCCGGCTGAGTTGTCATCCTTCAAATATATTGCGCTTATGTGTCCCCTTCCTGTTAAGTCGTGCCAAATCACCCTTCATCAATTTCCCCCCACTCCTCATGCCAGGGGTCCCAACCCGGTGTGAGGAGTTCATGGAGGGTGTAGGTGGATTTGGCGCGGGGTCTAGTCAATTTGAAGAGCGAACCCTTAGTCGGACCTATTCAACAGTCTGGCTCAACCACAGAATGACCCAGATCTTGTCCCGGGCACGTGCGGACATCACACTATTTGTAGACTTCATGGACTTCAAAGAGCGCCCTCAACCGATTTCATCCTCGAGTGTCGTGCAACCGATTTTCATGGGAGTCGTTGGATCGCGCAGGTCTCAGCCATTGATCGCCATGTAGTGAACTATAAATAGAGGGCCGAGGGGCCCCTCTCCTTTGCCAAAAAATCTTGTGTTTGAGCTTTCCCGAGGTCGCGTCGGAGTCTTTCAGCTCGCCACTCTTTCCTTTGTGTTCCAAGGTTATTTTCGTCCTTTTGGTGAGTTTGTCTTCTTTCGTCAGTTTGTTCTCCTTTCCTTTTCCTGTTCCAGTATGTCTAGTGCTAGTATAGATAGACTTCTCAGCGATTCTAGTGAGCCTGAGGTGCAGTCCTCGGCTCCCGCTGGCGAGGTCAGCTCCTCGCCAAGCAGTTCCTCTCCTCGCCTCTTAGGAGAAACACCTTTACCCGAAGTCGGGCCATCTCGGCCTGAGGAACTTGAAGCTCGGATGGAGGGACCGACCTCCAGAGAGGGGGTCCCGTCTTCTTCCCGGGGTCGGGATCCGGATGACTTCGGCCCTTCCACTTTGACCCCGGACAAGTTACTGTCCTTGGTAGCCCGTTACCGTCTTCCCGATAACCTTATTTTTAGTATTCCTTTGGGTCTGTACCCTTGGGTTCATGGTCACCATGAGCTCGCGATTTTTGAAGAGCATCTCGTAGTTCGCACCTCGAACCCCTACCTGGTTATCTGCTCGTGAGCCGTCATTCTCTCGTTGTGAGTGCCAAGGTGGATTAGGTTGACCGTCCCCGGGCCTACTTCTGACATTTCCTTGTGAGGCTGGCGGAGTGAGTTGATCGTCTCTCCTTCCTCAGGGTGAAACCTAACTTTTCAGAGGAATCAGTGCTTGTGAGGTCTCTTCGCCACGATGGGGGGATCGACTGATGTCCTGGTTAATCCCAAGGCCATTCGAGTTCTGACCGCGATGGGGCCCTGGGTGCCGAGGTGGGACCGGCTGCTGGTTAGGCTGTAGTGGAGGGAATTGGTGTTGATATTGATGGTAGAAGTAATACTGTTGGTACTGCTAAAACTGCTGGACCTGTTGCATCTAGATTTGAATAGCCCAAACGCATTGAATGAAGTCATGGAACTGGGAATGCCCCACTCCGGAAGGAACCACGGGCTCAGAGAAAGTTGCACCAACCATTGAGGAAAGTGGGGCGCTCACCTGTGTGGTGCTCGCCGGTGTAGTCAGCGATGGGACACCAGATGCTGTAAGCGGAATGGTGAACTGACCGATGTACACCGTAGGAGCTTGGGGGAAGGTTAGCTGCTGGGCTTGCCCCCCCGGTGGTGTTCATCTCGACACTTTTCCCGGTGTGGCTAGAGGATGCCATTGAAGTTGAAGTTGAGTTTGAAGCAGCAAAAAGGTAGGAATGACCTTTCAATCGAATTCCCACAGATGGTGCCAATTGATGGTGCATGATCTAACTACTCCTACTTGGAGGGCGATCCGGACTCCAGATGGACGGCGAGCTAGATCGATTTGCAAAATAGTCTATCAGAGAACCCGGGGTAGCTAACCCGAAGAGGTCACTCCGATGCTTAAGTCAGTAAGTATGCTGTAAATGCGAGTTGAATGCTTGAGAGATTTGAGTGCTAGAGAGTAAAGTAATCACTCGCACCTTTGCCTTGAGGTTTCGAGTCTTTATATACTGGAGTAGTCGTGGGCTTCACGAAAGAGTTCCGGGTTCTTCGGGCTGTAGAGATAAGGTTGATTCCGTTTTTGGAGGAGGGTGGTACGTGGATGAGGCTTATTGTCCAACCCCGATTTAGGTGTAACCGGAATAAGTTCTTATCGTGACCTCGGGGGATTCGGGATCTGTTGGCTCATCGTGATCCTAAGAGATTCGGGATCTTTTGGGAAGGCCTTCGGAGTTGATTATACGACGCTTCGGCCCGCTAGATCCGAGATGGAACTTTGATTCTTCAGTCCTGGATTGGATGCCCGAGGTGGTTGGGTACCCGAACTGCAAATGTTGCGAACTGGGCTTGCCCGGCTGAATTATCATCCTTCAACCAGATCGCACTTACGTGTCCCCTTCCTGTTAGGTCGTGTGAAATCACCCTTCATTAGAAACCATGGTTGATTCTGATTCCAACATCTTGATAAAACCAAATAGCATCAATCGGAATCTGATTCCGATTCCGATTCTTGTTTGAACCAAACAGGAAAGGAGAATAAGTCATTCCAATTCCGATTCCAATCACGAACCAAACAGACCCTTAGCAACTTCAGCCTGGTCAGCTACCACATCTGGAAAGCCCGCAATAAACTACTATTTGAAAACAACACACGAGAGCCTCTACGAGTAGTTCAAACAGCTCTATAATTCTCTCTAGAGAAACTGTACACTCGGTCACCGGCACAAATACACCCACCTCCCTCACCTCACTCTAATACTCCCACCTTGTATATTGATGGCGCATTTGAATCCCACCTTGTATATTGATGGCGCATTTGATTCAGATGCAGTTAATGCAGGACGAGGGCTCATCCTCCAACATCCCAGCACAAAGCTTCTCCGGGCAGCTCATGCTGGGCCCTTAACAGCTATATATGGTGCTGAAATACGAGCGCTTTTCAGAGGTCTCCAAGTAGCCCTCAGTCATGATTAAACATCTTTTGGTACATACAGATAACCTTGCACCAGTAGTAGACTTTGTAAATACTGATCGTGCACTCACTCATTGGATCGATCATCTTCATCAAATATATATCAAAAGGCTCGTGTTTTCTTTCGCTACTATATATGTGGTTCATATTAGCAGACAACGCAACCAAACGGCCCATCTTTTGGCTTAAGGGCCAGTTTAGTTTGCAGTACAGCTCATCAAACTCATCTCATGTAAATTTCTTTATATAATTAAAGTATTACTTAAATCATTCTAGACTATTTAGGGTTATAGGTTGAATGCCTTATCTTTTTGTTTTGCCTTGCTCTAGATTGATTATAAGATTATTTCATTGTAAATAGAGGAGATACAATTTGATGGACTTGACAAATTCATGGACCAAGAGGCTGGTTGAGGTCTTTGGCGTACCATAGCAATAGCTTATGCTATAACCCAAACCTTTTGGCAAAGAATTTACAATGTGTAACAGCCGCGGGGGGTTGTTTTTCTTGTCGTCTGTTAGTGATTCCCTATTTTCCTACACCAATTCTAGGATGGTCAATCTCAAAATGACACCTCTCTTCCTAAAATTTTGGCTTATTATTATTATTATTAAGGTAAATTTCTTAAATTATTCTTATGGTTTAGTTAATTTATTAAGTGTATCTTTACTGTTTGAAAATTGACAAATATACTCCTACTATTTTTGACAATTGATTAATCCTTAATCATTAACGTGCATCAACAAAGATATGAAAAAGACTATTTTACCCTCCACTATAGATTAATCGGATCTCTCCCTCTCCCTCTCATTCTCTTTGCCGGAACGACAAATGATGACCGGATCTAGGTCCCTTACAAATATGAGAGATACTTAGATATAGGTTCCTTACTTGGATCTCTCCCTCTCATTCTCTTCGTCGAAACTGTCGGAATGGCGGATGATGGCCGGATCTCAAATCTGAGTACCTCTCAATAGACCAAACCAGACCAAACATCGCACAAGCAATGAGAGCAGACATGCTGTGTTGTGCATCAGACCAGACATCGCACAAGCAATGGGAGCAGTTAGTAAGTTCATGGAAAATCTTGGGAGAGATCATTAGACTCCAAACCATACACGAGATCGCGATAATAGAAAGTCAATTATTGGCTATGTGTTCTCTTTCGTTGATGGTACAATGAGCTGGCATCGGAGTTGCAATCTGTAGTGGCTTCGTCTACAATAGAAACAGAGTATATGTCAACAACACAAGAAGCATGTAAAGAAGGTATTTGGGTAAAGAGGTTGCTTGAAGAGTTCAACATTAAGTAGAAAATGGTGACAACTCATTGTAATAGTCAAAGTGCATTACATTTAGCATGAAATCCAGTATTCCATTTGCGAAGTAAGCATATTGATGTATAATACCACTTTGTTTGTGAAGTATTTGAAGATGGGCAGATCTTGTTAAAGAAGATCTATACCAATGACAATGTTGCAGATATGTTGACAAAACCAGTGACGAAAGAGAAGTTTATCTGATGCAGAACTTCTCTTGGACTTGAGGTTACTTGACAACTGACAAGATGATGACAATTGCGGTAGATGGTCTCAAATGTGTTTTTCGCACTATAAAGAGAAATATTTTCAAGTAAGAGAATGTTAAGGTGGTGTCAGTCCTCACTAACCGGCCCAGTAAATACAACAAGTTTTTACCATTGGATGGCCCATGGTATAAGGAAATCAAGCGGTGAAAACATTTCTCACTGCCTAGTTTCACAAAACTAAGGGATATTTACTATGGGTTAAAAAGGGGGATTTAATTCTATCTCTCCATTTGGGTGGAAAATCTAAGGGTGCAAAGTTTTTCTAAAATGCCCATTCTATCCCTCTTGATTACTATAAATAAGGGTAGTCCAGAGTCCTGTAACTCATCCCATTCATTATTGTTTATTCTCTTGTATGAGAGTGGGTGTTTGGGTCTTAGGTACAAGTTTTCAAGAAAGGTGTAAGGGAGTGTATTGAGTGATTGTAGTGAGGTTATATTGTGATTTCTCTTATTTGTATAGTGAAAAAAAAAAGCTCCGAACTGGTGCTCGTAGACTTAGACAATTTGGCCAAATCACGTTAAATCCATTGTCCAACCATTCAAACCATCAATTCGACTCATCTCCACATGGCCAGGTGGTTACCCATCCATATCCACCCCAAGCCAACCCGCATCTACCCGCTAATTTAACTTCCAAGTTCCAACCACATATTAAATGACTTGCAATGCTGAAACATGTTGCAGCACTTTTTGAATTCAACTCTGCTTTGATGAATCCCGCATCTCCTATATAGGAATAGACCTGAACTATAAGTGAAAGAATCTGTTGATATAACGTTGGATTGGAATATTTGGTAATACGACATGGAGATGGAGATGGAGTTGCAATTCCAATCCAACGATTTCTTCTTGTATATCGTTAGCCTTGGAGATACAAATATTCCAATCCATTGATTTTTCCGTCACACTCCATAGTCACCATGAAAAAGCTAAAGAGATGGCCATGCCTGCGTAGCAATGGCAACGGGATAGAGTGGGGCTGGATTTAGCATGCATTGTCTTTAACCTAAAACTCAAATACCCTGCCCTAAATTCTATTGCGACAAAAAATCTCAACCCCATCTCTGTCCCCGTAGGGAACGGGGATCCTCCAATTTGCCCTGCCCTACCTCATTCTTATTTGCATTTTTTTTTTTTTGGTATGTATCTAAATCTATATCATATTATATAATATAATACAATATAATATATATATATATATTATATATATATATATATATTAACAGTTATATATAGTCAGAGCGGATTTAGACAATCTCCTGCCCATAACAATTTTACCCACAAAACCCTAGTTTCATGCATTGAAATTGAAAACAGCTGCCCATGTAAAAGGATATTTGGATAGGTGTGGATAGAGTTATCGTTGCAATGTCATATGAGTAGGTGTGGGTAGAATTGTCGTGGGTAAAAAATCCGGATTCCAAATATCAGACCCGGAGTCTCCCCCTCTCCCTCTCCCTCTCCCTCTCTAGCTTCCTCCCACGCATGACGCAAGACACCGACTCTTTCGTAATGTTTCCCATCCCGATTTTTCCTGTGTAGCTAATTAGCTATCCACGTGTTGAAAAAACTGCAATTTTTTTTTTTTTCATTGGAGCGGAAGGGAGGTACTGGTCCATAGTCCATTGCAACTCAACCGGGTCAAAGACATGTATCTCGTGTTTGAGAGCCCCCTCTCAAGAGTCTCAATCCATTGATCTTTCCCCGTCTCTCAATCCCATTCTATGCTCCCTACGCCCTTCCACGATCATTCCTCTCCAGTCTCCTCCTCCCCCTCCCTGAAGCTGAGACCACCGTGGACTAAGAGGGGGAGGAGGCTTTGACGAGGGAGAAAATGTCGTCTGAACAAATAGATGGACAGCCCATAGTTGCATTTAATTTTAACAATATGACGGGGTATGAGGATGGAATGGTCTGTCGTACCATGTCCGAAATCCTAAATCATGGCTTATGGACCAGAGACAGTTATTCCAGAATGATTCTATTGGTCTTGATGATTCAAATCGTATCAGTCGTCTTCGTGACTCGTATCGTGGATTTTGCCTTCAAGCCTCTCGGACAACCCAAGTTTATCTCCGATGTTATTGTAAGCTCTTCCAACCTCTTTCCATTGTTGCGCTCTCTCTCTTTGGTATCTTGGGTGGCAATTCCACATTAATTCTTGTCCTTGTCTTCATCACTTTGTTTTAATTAACAACAATGATGCCATGCCGATGCCGAGTCAGCCGAGAGATCTCTGTCTTTCTTCTTCCCATTAACCAGAACATCTGCTATATAAACTAACAACGTACAATTAATATTGAATTAATAACATTGCTTTTGCTTTTACTTTTGGCTTTTGTTTGACGATATATATAAAATTATAAATATAAATATGATCATATTATACATGATGATGTGAAGGGTGGTATGATCGTGGGTCCCTCCGTCTTAGGGCGCAGCAAGACATTTAGCCAACTGATGTTTCCAAGCGATGAAAAGGATTTCATGGTGTCTGTAGTTTCCCACCTGGGAATAATGTACTTCATCTTCTTGGTTGGCGTGAAAACGGACAGAAATTTATTAATAAAGCCTAGTAAGAGCGCACTGGGTATTGGTTTCTTATGCTGGTTGATTCCTTACGTAATCATCGTATTCACGGGCTCCCTCCTCCATAGTTTCATTGGGGGACTGGGAAATGGACACCTTCTGCTTTTTCTATCTGCGTCTCTATCCATCACATACTTCCCCAGTGTTGGTCATGCACTGGAAGAGCTGGATCTCCTCACTTCGGAGTTGGGCAGGATTTCGATGTCCTGTTCTATTATCAATGATGCAGTGGGATGGTGCTTCATGGTACTCTTTATCGTTTTACGTCAGACCAGCATTCTGGGCTCGTTTCGAGCATTCATACTTGTGATGGCGTTTATAGTTTTCACGGTTTATGTGGTTAGGCCGTGCATATTGTGGATTATCGAGAAGACACCGGAGGGAAGACCAGTGAAACAGGTTTACATAATAGCTATACTGGTTGGGGTCTTGATCTATGGATTGCTCAGCGAAATGCTAGGTGGAGCTGTTACGGATGGCCCGCTTGTCCTGGGATTGATTATACCGGAAGGGTCGATCATTAGTGCTGCCCTAGTTGAAAAGACGGAGAGCTTTAACACCAACATCCTTCTACCATTGTTCTATATGCAATACGGTTTGGCCACCGACGTGTTCAAGATCCAGGATTTTAAGCTTTTGATAGGTTTGCAGGCAATCCTAATGGTGGCCTATCTATCAAAGTTTGTGGGGACTATTTTACCTTCACTCCATTTCAACCTCAGCTTTCTTGATGCCAACTACCTTGGTCTCATCATGAATATTAAGGGCCTGCCAGAGATGATCATCTTCATATATTGGAAAAGGATCGGTGTGAGTGACGACGCTTGACACTCTCCAATTAATCTCTCCATCCATATCCAATTATCCATCCTCCTTAATTGTTTTTTTTTTTTTTTTCTTCCTTTCTTTCAAATTAACAATTATAAAATCCCCTTTGTTTCTCAATTCTCATTGTGCATGCAGATTTTAGACGACGAAGCTTTCACTATATTGGCACTAACTCACCTCATAGAGACGTCCATTGTAGCGCAGTTTATGAGAGTCTTGCATAAGCATCCAAGTTATATCCGCACAAACACAACGAAGAGTGGAATCCGAAGTGCCAAATTCAGCCCTGATTTTCGGCTCCTTCCATGCGTCCACAACGAAGAAAATGTGCAAGCCATGATCTCCATCCTTGATATTTCCAATCCCACTCAAGAAAGCCCCATTAATGCCTTCGTGCTCCACCTGGTTGAACTAGTTGGCCGAGCTGCCGCTTTGATAATCGATCAGAGTGCGCAGATGTGGGAACCTAACTGTGATCGTATTATAAGCGCTTTCAAGAACTATGCAGACAACTCAGATGGGCGTGTTTTCTTTCATCCTTTCATGGTGACCGCCCCCTATAAAACCATGCACGAAGATATTTGCAGAATAGCTCATGAGAAAGAGATAGCTCTCATCATCATGCCTTTTCACAAGCACTACCCCGTCCTCGGTGGAACTGGTGTTGGCTTATCTCACCTTAACCGTAACGTGCTGGCCAATGCACCTTCTTCCGTGGGGATACTTGTAGACCGTGGTTTCCGCCGCATTGGAGTGCGTGGTTACTTCTCATATAGTATACTTCTGACATTCCTGGGCGGAGAAGACGACCGTGAGGCGCTAATATTCGGCTGCCGCATATCAGGTCACCCTGGTGTACGTTGCACCGTTATAAGGTTTCTGCCGTTATTGAACTACGATGGCCACAACTGGAAGGAAACACAGCTCGATGACGCGACCGTTCTTGAATACAAAAGCATTAGCACGAACAATGAACGCGTCGTTTACCGCGAAGAGGCGGTAGAGGGTCTAGAGCAAGTGTTTTCTGTAATTCGATCTCTAAACGGTGACTACAACCTCGTAGTGGTAGGACGACGACGTGGGCCGAACATGAATCTCCAAAAATGTATTGTGGATTGGAGTGATAATGAAGAAGAGCTTGGGGTGGTTGGAGACTTCCTGGCGAGTACAGACTTTGCGGGTAGCACGGTCTCTGTGTTGGTGTTACAGGCTTGCAGCAGTGAAATTAACCGGAGTTGACATCCCTAAGCCTTGTAGAAATGGTGCTGATGATCTTCACTAGGTTGTGCACTTCTTTGCTGTGTGTAGAGTGAGTAGAGACATGTTCATGAAATTAAATTTAGGGGGAATTTTATTATTTTGGTCATTAATTGTTAATTGGGAGGGAGGGATATCATCAGCCTAGTAACTAGGATTTTTACAGGACATTGACAGGAGAGTGGTGTCAGTTCCCATGGTGAAATGGGTTAAGGGTGATCGATCGGAAGTTGGGAAGCAGTAGTAGTTAAATCGCCGGAGTACTTCCGGAGTCCGTGTTCGGAAATTAAAAAAGAGCCTGCACACAGGTTTGCCTTGCCCCTCTTCTTTACATTCTTGGAACGGGGCAACTATACATGTGAATATGTTTAATTTCGTTTGGGACCCACCCCACCCATGTCACTTGTCCCCAAGAATTTACAATCATTTTTTTTTGGATTTTGTGAGGTTAAATTAGAGTTAATTTATAATCAAATACTAGGACGATTTATTAATTTGAATTAATAGACCAATTCAGATTTAAATTGTAATTGTGATAGTTGGAATCCATACAATTTTACTTGTATTTTTATTTTGAATTAAAGTTTAGCTTAGGCCTCGTTTGGTTGCAATATAATTTCATTTTACTGGTATAAAAGTATTGGAGTGCAAATTCTGATTTAGGATGTATATTGGTTCACGGGAATAGGTCCTGAGAATTTGAAATGGAAATGCTCATTCCAATTTCAGTCGTTTGGTTGGGCAAAATTGGATTTTGATTTTCATTCTTCGGGATCCAATGGGATCCTCTCACATGACAGAATGGCTATTCTAGGCCCCTGTAGCATTTTCCATTCCAGAATCCCTTGAAATTATCAATATCCCAACAAAAACACCCTTATAAGTTATAACCCTATCCGAGCCCACAATGGCTATTCTTTCTCTGCATCTTCCTCCCTTTTGTTGTTACTGAAAGACAATAATGGTTGAGAGAATCTTGATCAATTGATTATTAAGAAGCCTTGGGTATTAATACATATAAGAGGAAGATGTATGAGATAGGAGTGTATAGAGATTAACACAAAGTTGTTACACAGGCGATATCTTTAGATATCCTTATCATGGTAGTGTTTATCATGTATCCTTATCGTGATAATGCTTATCACATCTATCAACCCCCCCGGCACGCAAGCTAATGGTGGGGAGACACCACTTGAAGCTTGTCACAAAGCCAACCAAAGCGCGACAGTCCAAGAGGTTTTGTGAAGATGTTCGCAATCTGGTCCTTTGTGGAGATGTTCTTGGTGGCGACATGATGGCATATGAAATGAACATCTATCTCAATATGTTTCAAGCGAGCATGAAATACCGTGTTAATAGCCAAGTATGTGGCACCAACATTGTCACACCAGAGTACAACATCAGTGAAGGGGATACCAAGCTCCAGGAAGAGGGACTTAAGCCATAGAAGGCAGCTATGGCAACACTGCGGTATTCAGCCTCTATGCTGGAACGGGATACGGTGCTCTGCTTTTTTGAGGCCCATGAGATAAGATTGCCACCCAAGTAGTTGTAGTAACCAGTTTGAGATTTCCGGTCAGCCTTGCAGCCGACCCAGTCAGAGAATGCATGGAGAGAGAGTGAGGTAGAGGGGATGATGGCAAGCCCAAAGTCATCAGTATGCTTTAGGTAGCAACCCAATCACCGATAGTGGGTTTATGCATGAACTGGCATACCCGATTCACAAAGTAGGAGATATACTTGTCTGGTGAAAGACAAGTATTGGAGGGCGCCAACGATTTGCCTGTAGAGGGAGACATCAGCAAAAGGATCGTCCCGTGTAGGAGCTATAGTAGCTGTCGGTGTGGATAGAGGCTTGGCACCAACAAGCTGAACCTTGTCCAAGAGGTCAAGTATATACTTGCGTTGATTGAAAAAGAGACCATTTGGTGTGCGTACAGCCTCCATGCCAAGGAAATAGCTTAATGGGCCTAAGAGTTTGAGTGCAAATTGAAGTTGTAGCTTCGAGATAATGGCCTCAATAAGTGAAGTGGAAGAGCCAGTGATTATGATGTCATCGACATAGACAAGTAAGAAGATTTTCTCACTATGATGATGGGAGCTTAGTTTTTGGAACCAAGCCCGCGGGGCCTGTTTGAGCCCGTAAAGAGATTTGCGAAGTAGGCAGACATGATCAAGTCGTTCTTTATCGACAAAGCCTGGAGGTTGCACCATATAGACATTAGATAAGTCAACACGCAGGAAGGCGCTTTGGACGTCTAACTATTGTAACGGCCATCCGTTGGAGATAGCAAGAGTGAGTATAACACGAATGGTGGTGGGCTTGATGACTGGGTTGAATGTTTCTTGAAAGTCAAGACCCTCTCTCTGATGAAAGCCCTTGGCAACAAGCCAGGCTTTGTAGCGGTCAATACTGCCATCTGGACAGCACTTCACACGAAAGACCCATTTACAGCCCAAAATGTTTTGGGCCTCACTCTTGGGTCGTAAGATCTAGGTGCCATTCTTGATTAAGGCAAGGAACTCCTCCTCCATTGCTTTGTGCCAATGAGGGTCTTTATTGGCTTGGGTGAAGTTGGTGGGCTCAACACTATGAGATAGGATAGGGTATTTAGTAGAGTTATGGGCCTAACGATAGTCATATTCAAGGATACCAGAATTGAATCTGGTGGCCATATGATGTGTTCATGATGGGGGGAGCAATAGGTGGTAGTGCAACAGGTTGCAAACCAGAAGATGGCTGATCATGGTCAGGTGGAGAGATAGCGGCAGGGGGTTCAGGTGTTGAGCCAGGTGCAGGTAGGAGAGGAGGATCGGTGGAGGGGTCAAGGGCTGGTGTAGTGGGTCCTCATAAAGTGGGGGGAGGTCCGATGATGGAAGGGACAGAAGTTGTTCTATTAGGCGCTGCAACCTGTTGTGCAAATGGGAAAGAAGTTTCATTGAAGCGCATGTCCTTGGAGATGTAACGCCTGTTTGTGGGAACATGTAGACAAATGTAGCCTTTATGGGAGTCACAGTAACCCAGAAATACACAGGAGGTGGCACGAAATTCCAACTTATTGGAGGCATAAGCCCTTGTGTGAGGGAAGCATTCACATCCGAAAACCCGCAATCGTAGGTAATTTGGCATCTTGTTGAAGAGAACCTCAAGAGGAGTTCGATTATTCAGAGCTCGTGTATGTGTTCGATTCATTAAGTGAACAACGGTGCTGAATGCTTCCCACCAATATTTTGTGGGTACTAAGGAGTGGGCGAGAATGGTCAGGCCAGTCCATGCTCAACAATGTGCCGGTGTCAACGCTCAACCACACCATTTTGTGCTAGCGTGTAAGGGCATGGCATTTGATGAATAACACCCAATTTAACCAATGTGGACTGCAACTTGCAAAATTCACCACCACCATTGGATTGTAGCCGCTTGAGAGGGACCCCCAACTATCATTCAGCCATAGTTTTAAAATGAACAAAAATATTGAGAGTATCACTCTTTGCATGCATAGGGTAAAGCCATGTTAATTTGGAGAACACATCTATAAAAGCTATGTAATAATGATAACCATGAACTGAGGATGTTGGTGCAGGGCCCCAAACATCCATTACAACTAGTTCAAGAGGAGATGAAGCTATCACTACATTACTATCAAATGGCAACCGATGACTTTTCCCATAAATGCAGGAAAAACAGAAGGAAGACGCCTTATTGGAGTTGACTGGAAGTTGATTATGCTGCACAATGTAACGAACTGTGGAAGGTGACAGGTGGCAGAATCGCAGATGCCAGGTATCAAGGGAGACACGAGCACCAAATAGATGTCAGGAACATGTAAAATATCCTTGAGCAGCAGTGGATGAGAAGAAGGTAAATAAGAGGTGCCAATGTGCTGAATGTGCAAACCTGTGCCATCACCGATGGTGATCTTGTTAGAACCCCGATAGTCATCATGGATGTTGAGGCGGGACAGGTCATGAGTTAGATGATCTGTAGCTCCTGAGTCCTGAAGTTAGGCATCCTCTAAGGAATGAGACAATGCAGCATTGCAGGCATACTTCTGATTGCGCAAGTATTCAATAGAAGCTTTCAACTTGCAACAGTTCTTGGTAGTGTGAAACTTACCACCACAATTCTGACATGGGCCCTTGTTGTTGTTGGGTTTGTGTGCGAAGTGGGAGGTGCTGAGGACAATTTGTTGTGACGTATAGGTTTGACATTACAGGATGCAATATTGGCACTTCAAGTGAGGCGGGTTTCCTGTTGAAGCAAGAGACCCTAGAGTTCCTCAAAAGAAATATCAGTAGATCAAATAGTGAGAACAGTAGCAAAGGAGTCATACTCAGAGGAGAGTCCTTTGGTGGTATGATGAATGAGTTGAGAGTTAGAGAGCAGTTCACCGAGAGCAGATAAATAATCACTGTAACTCTTGATCTCATGAAGATAATCAGGGTTGACATGTCCCCTTTTCGTAGTGAGGCCAGATCATCACGAATGTGAACAGCCCGTGAGGTGAATTTGGCAACGAAGATATTCTCCAGAGTGGTCCAGATCTGACGGCTGGTGGTGCATTTGACAACCTAAGACAGAACTGAGTCAGCCAGGGTGGCAAGAAGCCAGCTGACTAGTAGACGGTCTTGTTTCAGCCATGATGCTTGATCAGGGGTGAGAGCACTCGAGGTGGAGTTAGCGTCGTGGTAGCGGATGGTGCCGTCAACGTATCCCTGAATTTCATGACTCAGAAGTGCATGTTGAACCTGGAATCTCCACAGATGATAGTTCGGTCCAGAAAGTCTGACCGTTATCAATTGAGATAGGTTGAGAGTATACGGACTGGGAAGGGAGGGAGTGCTCATGGTATAGTTGCAGAAGGAGAGGTGGATGAGCTGGAAGAGGTCGGCATAAATCAGTGAAGGACGACGTGAGTCTTAGGGCTCTGATACCATGAAAGGCAGTAATGGTTGAGAGAATCTTGAATTGATCAATTAATTACTAAGAAGCCTTAGGATAGGAGTGTACAGAGATTAACACAAAGCCTTGGGTATTTACGCTGATGACTTAGGTATGTATATGTACACTAAGTGTACATAGATTAACACAGAGATTATCATGTATCCTTATCATGATAATATTTATCACGTCTATCAGTTGCTACTCCTAAAACCGCCGATAGTCAGTTCTTTTTTTTTCTTAAATTTTCTCTCCCCCTCTTCTTCTTCCTCCTGCCACTGCCATTGCTAAAACCGCCGGTAGTCGGTTCTTTTTGTTTTTTTAATTTTCTCTACTTCTTCTTTCTTCTTTCTCCCCCTCTTCTTCTTCCTCCTGCCACTGCCATTGCTAAAACCGCCGGTAGTCGGTTCTTTTTGTTTTTTTAATTTTCTCTACTTCTTCTTTCTTCTTTCTCCCCCTCTTCTTCTTCCTCCCTTCTGCCATTTTCATTGCTAAAACCACCGGTGGTTAGTTCTTTTTTTTTTTTCTCTACCTCTCTTGTTTCTTCTTTCTCCCCGTCTTCTTCTACTGAACTAAACACACCTTTCAAGGGAAAATTGGAAATTTGGTTGAGTCCAATTTTGGTTTCCAAATGAATCAAACATCAACAATTGGAACATCAAAACTTAACACATATTTCCATTCAATAAGGCTGTGTTAACCTTGTATCGGTTTCCCTAGCTTTTCTTTCAAACCAAACACAGCCTAAAGTAAATTCTGTTTTTCATGTTTTTATTTTTCCAGAACTTAGTATCTAGCGGGGCTTAGGTTTCCATCTTGACATCTTAACGTAATGTTTCAATAATGTGATGTTCCTCGCTTGGCTGGACTTCGGTATGTTTCTTTTCCCTCTTCACCCATTGTGTGACGACCATTTTCATCCCCCCCACCACTCCAGTCAAATCTAACGTTCTTATCTCTCTTTTTTATTTTTTTAAAGGCAACCCTTTCTTTTTCCACATTGAAAGTAAAACAAGAGGGCGTAAAGAGGTCTTCACAATTACCCATTTTTTTTTATAATATAAAATCCAAGTGGTTTAACCCCTTAAGACCTGTATGGTCGTACCTATATATATTGACTAATATATGAATGCCAAGAGTAGTTGATAATGAAAATTTACTAATGGTAGGTCATATGACAAAGAAATATAAATTACTCATGGATTTATAGATGGACTATATACAAGGTTTGAAGTACATTCTTTCTCTACCAAGAAAAATTCGTAGCCATGCAAAAAAGAATTGGTACACCGGGGGCAATTACATAATTTACATCCATCCAATTAGGGATGTTTCCAGCAACCAAGACAAATTTTACCTTAGTAAGTAGCCCATCATCACATCATATTTACCTGCGGTGGATATATGTGTCCCTTGTGTATATATGAAAGAAAAGGAATGACTGGTTCTTCAACTCTAGTGGTAATAACATCATTTTTATTTATTTTGATTTTCCCCCATTAACTTCCTATTGCAGTATGTCAAATTAAACAGAGGCAGTATGTATATAAAGTTTAGTGCATGGTTTCACCTTCAGCAATCAGCATTGTCAAACATTGAATTGATGATAACCAGAAAGAAGAAAAGCGGTATAATAACTAGGATATTTCAAATTTTACATTCATCTCTCACACAAGGTCTGAAAAATGATGTGGCTAGAAACAAAGAAGAAGCTGGATATCCAGAGGGTCTGCGCAATGCGAGAAAATTGACACTAATTCTTTGAGCCCAGCCTAGCTACTAAATAGGGAGAGTGGATGAGAAAGAACACATAACAACAAGAACATTGTCCCAAATGCGGGTATACAATACGTACAACAACAGACAAACCGATTGAAGGACCAGAAAACCCTGCTCTCTGACAGATAACAATTCTGTCTCAGGCAGCATTTGGATTTGGCTATTGTTTGCAATTGAAGATATTAACAAGGGGGCAGATCAGCTGGAGGAGACTGTAGAGACTGCAGTTCCCCTTCCCCATTCTCCACCAGGAAGGCCATAGCTAATCCCCAGGTTATGTGAACGTCCAAGTGACAGTGCATCAGCCAAACTCCTGTTTTTGCCAAATAATAATTAAATGATTACGTACAAGAGATGATCAGTAGTGATGTGAAAGTGAGAAACTATATATATTATTATTGGAATTTGCCAATTTGGAAAAGGTGATGCATGCATGTTTTAATTTATTACCTGGGTTATCAGCAACAAAGCGAATCACTGCCCATCCATTCACCGGTACTGCAACAGTGTTCCTCATTGGTGGATCAACAAGATTGAATTTAGCTGTATCTGTTTGAGGATTGAAATTCCCAAAGCCCTCTGCAATGATGTAGAAATCATAACCATGAATATGAATTGGGTGGTTCTCGGCGGTGACGATACTCGTGTCCTGTAATACTAGTTGCACCTTTGAGCCGTACTTCAACTTGTAGAGCTTGGTCCCTGAAATAGGTTGCCAGAGGGCTCGGCTGACATTACCGGTATAGTCGAACTGCACTGGTGGGACTGGTGGGAAGTCTGTGGTGTAAACTCCAGGAACGCCTTGCTGGTAGGCTTGCAATATGGAGAAGCTGGATGGGAGCACAAGGGAGACATTGTTCATGCTAGCGGTGAAGCGGGTTCCGTTTGGACCTTGACATCGGCTCTGACTGAAACCGGGTGGACAGTTAAAGAGGCCTAGACCCACCGTGAAGAAGAGGTTTTCATCAATGTCGGTGGGGATGTCAACCTTAGAGGGGCTTCTGAATTTGGCTGCAAAGGCGGTGGCGGTGGTAGTGTCATTGTAAGCAGGTAAGGATGGGAAGACGGGTTGGAGGGTGAGCCCCTTCTTTGGGCAGGGGGCGGACTTGTATTCAAGGATGGCAGTGGTAGTGGTGTTATCGAATGCTGCGCCCTGAGCACTCTGATAAGCCCGAGCGGCTATGTAGTATCTGCCCGGTGGTTGATTAGCTGTTATAAGGACGTCAGTGGTCTGCCCTGGACCCAACATTAGAACAGATGTTGTGAAGGGCTTTTTATAGGATGCGTCCGCAGCAACAACCGTCAACTGGTGGTTGCCGATAGCCAAGAAGAGTTCTTGGTTTAGCGCAGCATTGATCACCCTGAGGAGGTTGGTCTCACCGGAGTCCACCGGAATTATAACAGTGTCTGCACGCGGCATACCAATCGCATCAGTAGATAGGTTATTTGTGTTTTCCTCAATTTGTTGCAGCAACATCTTTGTATTGTACGCAATCTAAGCTCTTGACTTGAAAGAAGCTTTAAGATTCATAAATCTTTTGTGTAAACTAGCTAGGTTATGCTTAATAAATTAATTCTTAATTATTGGTGGTTAGTTGACGAAAGAACTTCAACCTTTTATAATTGAATTGAATGTGGATCCACTGATCTTAACCAATCTTACAACCTGATAGTTGTATCTATGTAAAATTCATGTCTATTTGCTAGAGTCATAGGTACAAAACTCATAAACTTATTTTTCTAAGTTATTATATGTATGAAAGATAATTATATATTTAAATTTAACTTATAAATAGTACAAAAAAATCTGAATTAGTTGAATGCAAGCCCATAAATGTCAAGTGACAGAGTGAGTGGTTATAGGGCATATGCATTAATTTAATGATTTTATGGGGAGTGTTATCATTGGTTCCAGCTTGCCAACTAGTTCTGCTTCGGTCAGGGCAAAGCTCCCTGACGGAAGCCGATCTCGCCTGCCACACAGCCATTGCCTTCAGTTAATCTAATATCATCCCATTCAAATCCAATCTGCTTAAAGCCCTACCCATAACACATTTGAGGGTTCTTGTACATACATAGAGAGCGGGGAGAGGAATTTGGAGACTCCTTTTTAAGGCTGTTTTTGGTTTGAAGGAAAAGTTATAGAGTTGTAGAGTGGAGATAAAACCTTGGCTGGAGCAGTTATAGAGATCACCGGGTTGGCCGTTGATGGTATATGCATCAGACACGTTAGGAGCGGCTCCCGTTCGTGTTGCCCGCCTGATGACATCAATGGGATTGTCATCCCACCATTCCCCTGTCCATCATATAAACAGTGACAATTATCATCATATATACATGCATACATAAATACATACATGCATGCATGCATGAACAAGTCATATGAGAGCTAGCTCCACTCAGTCTCTAACTATTAATCCATTTGAATTTTGAAATTAATCAAAAAGTGCCCATATGGGTGGCTTCCTAGACAACCACAGCTCTTTTTTCACTTTTCACGAGCTTGGTCTTGACTCTTGAGTAAATGGTAGGAAGGGGAAAAAATTAAGGCATGAAATTAAAACCGGAGGGAAGAAGGGGATTATTGTTACCAAGGAGAACAGGTGTTTCTCGTTTGGGCTTAGTGAATGGATAGGAAGAACCCAGTCTTGGGTAGATAATTAGAGCTCCATAAACAGTGGCTCTGAGCCATGAACTATGAGCATGCCACCACAATGTTCCTTCTTGGTCCTGGATGGTGAACCGGTAAGTGTAACTCCCTCCAGGTTGGATGGGACACTGAGTCACATATTCTGGCCCGTCCGCCCAGGCTGTTCGCAGTTGACGAACGCCGTGCCTGCAATAGAAAGAAATTAAAAGAAGAACTAAGAATAAAAATATATAATTGTGCATATGTATATGTGTAATTACTCATGCATAGCAGTTACCAGTGGATAGTGACGTTGTATCTGGCTCTGTTTATCACTCTGATCACAAGCGTGTCTCCATTTCTTACTTCCAAGGTTGGCCCTGGAAATTGTCCATTAACCGTTATTGTGTTATGGGTTTTGCACAGCCTCTTCACTGGTGTTGCTTGAACCTGTTTCAATCCAAGAAGTCAGAAACCACCATCACTACGATGGTGTGGTGCGTAGAAGAAGAAGAAGAAGAAGAAGAAGAAGAAGAAGAAGAAGAAGAACATACAACAAACTCGTGATAATGAGTCTCAGGATCTGCGGAGCATGATGGTGAAGACACGAAGAGGAGTAAAAGGCTTAGAAGGATGCAAGAACACCATGGCTTGACAACATTGTCGTAGGACTCCATCTCTCTACGTAGTCCTTGTTTGAACGAAAGTTGTTGTGATAATGCAGGAGAATGAGAAACAAGGCTCCTTTTTATATGATAAAGTATAAGGAGGGAGGGAGAGTTGTTTTGAGGTTGGCAGATTAGGTTTTGATTCAAGACATGCATGGTCAGGTTCAAGGGCAACTTAGTTCAACCTTAGGGGGAGTTGGTGCACCAACTAGCTTATCAGAAGTTGAGAATTTCTCGAGTGCTTGTCTCACAAGTCTTTCAAATGGGTTGAATACTTGAATTTCGCAAGTTATAGAGGAATGATTGTTTACAAGGGCCTATAATACTCTATTCGAAAGTTATAGAGGAATGAAATCTTTAACTCACCTTATAATCAATCTTATGTCAAGCACAGGAGTCAAAGCAATTTACTTTCTTTGTAATTAAAAAAAAAAAAAAAAAAAAAGAAATCTCACGATGATATTCATCAAAATTCACGGGGGTTTGATTGGTCAAAATTCTTCGGGTATCATGCCTTTCCGGCCGGCAGCATAGATATTGCCTTTGAGAAATCTTTTCATTCTTTCTCTGCCTGGGTCCGAATGATAAGGGAAGACAGCAGTCCATGTTTCTTAGTAATTCTTTTGGTCACTTTGACCTTTTCATTCGCGTGGTGGAAGACTGGAAATCTGTCTAGAAGGTTAAAAAAGAGAGAGGCCCCAAATCACATTTTGAGACAGCCCGATTTAGGGCACCTAAATGGGACCAACTTCTATATGAAATTCCAGTCATCAAATCCTTAATTAATCCTAAATCAGAAGGTTAAGATCCTTCTAATTAATCGAATTATTTGATTCGTCTGGGCCCACCATTTGATCAGGTCATATAGACGAGTTGGTAGTATGTGGTTTGACGAGTGAGGCTTGTGGGCCCCACACACCTCATATTTAACACGTTCACTTTATAAATCCTCATTTTTGACTTTATTGGCTTCCAAAAAACGATGAATAGAAAACTTTTGACTTTATTACTTGTGGCTTAAGGCTTTTCTTAGCCTGGCCTTCTAATTGTTTAGTCTACTGGTTTAGGTAAAATCAAGCGTGAATCAATGACTATACCACTTAAACCAGAGCGTATTGACCTCTTCTTGGGTTATAATGACATATTTCATTGGAACTCTTTCAATACTTTTATTTATGATCACTTAGTTAGAGGTATTAAAGCCAACCATGTTTACATTGATTAATTTGTGATGAATTAACAAGTCTATGGGGACGATTTTGGGTTGGGCTTGAATCAATTGTGTGACAATGTGGACATAGTTTTCCATCAGTCCAGGACAATCTAATTGGAGCATGCACTTATGCAAATTGGATCGTCTTTCATGCCCTCTTGGGCTATTAATTAGCGTGTTATGAAGTTGGATTTTGAGGATAAACTGTCAATTTATCTTTTGAGCTATAAATGCAAAAGCCATAACTGTTTCTCAATAAAGTCAATACATCTAAGTTAAACCTAAAGCTAGTGGAATTTCAGAAAGACAGGAGATGAATTTGGACTTAAAGTTGCTTAAAGCCCAAGAAAAGATGATTCTCTCCTCAAAGCTTGTTTGTAGGATGTCTACGAGTCAGGCCACCGTTGAACTCTCCTCTTGAAAGGAAGCATCGAGAGAGAGAGAGAGAGAGAGAGTTTGGATTAGATGGGTGAACAAGAGTAGAAATAAAGATCATTTAGGTAAGAGATTTGAAATCTTGTTATCAACTGGTCGAGGCTCTAAAGTAGGAAAAAGAAAGGAGAATATTAAAAGGAAGTGATTTGTAGTATGTATAGCGTCCTCTGCCAATTTTTCCATGGTTTGTGCCTTATGGTGGTTAGGATTTCTTCCTCTTTTTCCAGATATCTTTTTGAAAGGCGTACAACTCACACGTCACAGAATTCCAGTTTCAGTTCAATCATCAAGATTGAGTTTCGAAAGAGGTCCACCATGTACAATTGACTCCCTCTTGTGTACATTATCAGGCATTTAATCCTTTTATTGTTTTCTTAGAAGGTAAAAGGCAACATCCTTTTAACTTTAAGCAGCCCCACCTCCTCCTTGATTAGTTTGGGAAAAAAATTGAAGAATGTTAAACAACAGCGTGCGAAGTGCAACCCTTTGGGATGCCTTTAATGCACTAATATATGATGGTTGATCCTTCGAGTTTCCTTTTCATGTTTCTGAGGTTGCCAAATGTCCAGGTGGGGGACTAGGAGCCATTAATGGATGCTTCCCATGTTTAAAAATTTTCTGATAACACCTTTTTTTTTTGTAGAAAGGAGAATTCATTAACTAACGAAACAAGCGTTCAGAGAAACAACGAAAAAAAAAACAAAGCAAAGCCACCAAAGATGACTAGAGCTGCACAAGACTTCAAACAAAGAAACAAGAGGAATATCAATAATAAGGATCGATGCTTCTACGATCCTCTGCTAAGACCTCCTTTAACCAGTCTGGGACAGAAACGACTAAGAAGCTGTTTTCCTTGAGCTCTCGATTAGCAGCAACATGAGCTGCTTTGTTACACTCCCTGTTAACAAAACAAAAGGAGAGATCCAAATCTTTGCCAAGCTGAGAGATCTTTGACTGAGGAGAATGTCTCCTTGGGACACAAACCACCCGAGGGTCGAGGATTTGATGCTGCTAACCAGTACACTGCAATCACTTTGGATATCTGCTTTTGTTATACCTAATTCACACACAAGTTTGATACATGGGCTTGGAGACAAAGCAAACAGGAACCATAACGAATTGCCATACAGTCATTCCCTGAAGAGTTTCTCAAAACAACACCAAAAAAAGCTAATTGATTGCTAGCGAAAGCACTATCCACGTTACTTTCACCCTATCACATTTTGGCAACTTCCAAAAAGGCGTGATACATGAAAACTAGAAGGGGACACTTTTTGGTGATGCTTTCATCATCACGATTTTCTGCTCCGCTATATGCCTGCACATAGAAGAGATCAAGAGAGCACCAAAGATGGATTAGACTGACAATTACTGAAATAATAATTATTTCTAGTGAGCCACACATTCCAGAGAACTATCACAGAATGAGTAAGCATTTCATTCTTCCCTCCCCCATTCTACAAGAAGTTTTAACCAAATCACAAAGCCAACTTTTGAAGCTCACAGAAGAAATCCCATCATCAAACGTCAGACCATATTACTACCAAACCAAACACTCCTCACATAATCACAGCCTAAGAGAGCATGAGCAATACTTTCCTCCTTTTTACCACACAGAGCCTCTTGACTAATATGTCTAGAGACTAGAGTTGATTTCACAGGCACAATATTTAGGCAGCATCTCCAGATAAAGGATTTATCTTCACAAGCACAGGAAAGGACCAAACAGATTTCGAATAGAACTTTATCACTTGTGGACAGGTCTGAATCTTCACTAGCATCAGAGCACATGTTCTTAGCCATAAAGTATGCAGATTTGACAGTAAAGACTCCTTGGGGGTGGTGTGACCAAAACAGCTTGTTATCCCAACTATGGATAGTAAGTTTGATCTCAAGGATTTTTGAAGCAACCTCAGGCAGAAAATTTTCTCTAATTAGGTTCTCTTTCCATTTGCCATCAGCCTCTGTGATTTAATCTTTATCATGACCAAATTTTGGTTGTTTGGCTGAGGCCCATATATCCTGTTGCCTCTCAGTCCTGGGACCCAAGGAGATTGCCAAATATTAACTTTCCAACCTGAACCTAACCCCAAGCAGATTCTTTCAAACAAAACCTCTCTCCCTGCTAACAAGCTTTCCCACCCCCAAGACCATCTATTAGGCAAGTTTGAATTGATGAGGTTTTTGTTCTTGGTATATTTTGCTCTAATGGCCCTCCCCCAAAGACTGTTGTGGTGTCATAACACCTATTAAATAGTGGGTTCAGAACATAATTGAAAAAATGATAAGATCATGGTGTCTAATAAGGTTACTGCTGAAATTGGCATTCAAAGATGGGAGCCTTTAAATCTTCTCCTGGCCAGTTAGAAGAGAATTCTCTAGATCTTGGCTAACAGGATGATCACTGTAATATTTGCATATTGAGGCCCAATTGTATTTTCAGTCTCAGCAGCATCAAGAATAGAGGCCACAAAAAAAGGGTTCATTTCAAAAACATGTTTCTCTGTATTTCAACATTACATTTTCATTGTAATAGCCCCATGACATTGTTCCAACAGTAAAAGTTGATCCTTCTAGTGGGGTAATCATAATTTACTTAAGAGAGTTATAAATAAATCTGAAAAGAAGAAAGGAAAGTGACATGGGAGATTGAAGTATCATAGTAACACCAACTTCAATGATGAAAATGTAGATCCTTGTGAGAACCCTCATTTGACAAACTGTTATCAATGAGACAGAATTGAATGGCAACATTAAATAATTGCAGTGTTTGGTACTATGATGTTGCATTCCCAGTCAACAAAAACTGAGGTTTTGCCAGATATAATCTATTGTTCACATGGATTTTCAATCCCTAGAAGAATCTAGGTGATTCTGGGTGACAGTGTGGTGCCTAGTCTTTTTTTTTAAAAAAAAAAGCAGGTAAAGTATAAATTCATTAAAGAAGAAAACCATGTACAACAAGAAGCTGTACACAGGGATTTACAAAAAAAACTGCTCAAGCAGCTCTATACCCCCCAGCCCTGCTTTGAAAAAAGATATTTTCATGTACAAAAAAAAAAAAAGTGTTGTAGTTTCTATTTTGAAAATTTTGTTTACAGAAAGCCAAGACATCATTTTGCCCATGATTCTCTGAAACACTGTGTCGGGAGAACTGTGTTTGTTGTTGAAAACTCTTGCATTTCTTTCCTGCCATAAACACCAAAAAACAGCTGCAGGGGCCATGTTCCAAGCCACATTGCCTTTCGAAGATAAACCCCCTAAACTCCAGCCTTTTACAAAATTTATAACTGACTCCAGGCAGTAGCTCTTTAATTCAAACAGGTTCCAAATTTTAAACCAAACTTCTTGGGCAAAACCGCAACAGAAGGTGATTCACCAATTCCTCTTG